TATACAACAAATTCATATGTCTACACTCATATACTCATCGTTTTTAAATAAAGTCATTCAAATATATTCTTTATTTTGCTAAACATAAATTTTCAAGTATGAAAAATTGATTCCTCATTTAAGCTTGTGGCTCATAGAAAGCATATAGATAAAGCTTGTATTTTAAGAGGTTTGAAAACTAAATTTTGGATTTTTGAGGCGCTAGGTAAGGTAAGCCATTAGTACTCGAATGTAGGTGGAAATGGGAAATGAAGAGCTTCGCTAGTCGAGAAAACGGCTATTAATTATTGTGGAGCGGAAATGACTTACTTTAGTGTGAAAGCTCGATAATAAATGCTGAATTAGAAAATTTTTTATAATATTTTCAACATATGTAAATAATTTTACGCGCTACTTATTACGGAAATAAGTTATTCAATTGTATATGTGAAGAAAAAGTTTTCTTAATTAAATTTGAAAAAAGTTAAGTCTTAATAATTTTTCTTTGCTTTTCTTGCAGGTGACGCCAGCAATGCCAGTATAGGCAGTGGCGAAGGTACAGGCGAAGAGGACGACGATGCGAATGGTAAAAAGAACCAAAAGAAACGTGGCATTTTCCCAAAAGTAGCAACAAATATCTTAAGAGCGTGGCTGTTTCAGCACTTAACGGTGAGTAGGCAAGCAAATAAGCTATCATACAAATACACATATATACATACATATGTATCTCTGGGAAAAGATAAGGTTTTGAATATGATTTCATATTTTTTTTTAGTTTTTATTAAAATTTTTGTGAATCTTGTATGTATAAATCTTTAATGTCCAATTCAATGTCGGCGCAGTTAAGCGCTGCTGAACTAGTTTACACACATTTGATTTATCTAAAAATGTTGCACTAATTTTTTACTTTTTTTCTTAAAATTTTATTACCTACATAGTGAACATTTTCACATTTTCTGTTTACACAAAATATGTAAGATTTATAGTTGAACGTTTATAAATCAAAAAGATTTGTACTATTTTATGCAACTTTTGGCTTCGGCTTGGCCAAATGAATAATGCCAGCGGATGTTTGAGAAAATGCTGCCAAATAGTGAAAAAGGAAACAAATATATCCATAAATATTAGGAAGGGGAAATAGTTGAAATAAAAACCTAGCTCTTTTTAGAAATGAGACTTTGTTCATGAAAGCTCTCACTCATTTCCCCAAATACATTTGGTAGTAACTCACAAAAACTAACAGCTAATTCAAGCGCTCTCCCAATGATTACGAAAACTTAGTTTGCGGCGAATAGATAAGTTTTTGAATGTATCTTTCCATTCCATTTTGACTATATCTCAGAAGTTTTATACGACTTTTGCTGACCCTTCAAATATGACCACTTATTAATTATATGCTTATCTTAAGTGATGTTTTAAGTAGTAAACAGGTTTGTGTCACTAGCACTGGTCTACCGTAAACAGTAGTTATCTCATCTACAAAAAAAATGCACTTAAGGAATAATAAACTGAGTATAAATTACATTAAACTCGTAGTACTGCTTACTAAACATAATTACGAAACTTTATCAAATGATAATTGTTAATCGTCGTTCGAATAGACAGAAACGCTCAAGAAACTAGTTTTGGTATTTTATTTTTTAAACCATATAAGGGGGAAAATCTCAACTGAAAAACTTTAGTTTGCATAAGGTTTTATAACCACTATGTAAAGGAATACAAATTTTCCATTTCTACATCATTATTACTTGACAAAGGAAGCTTCACCAGTGATTGGAGGAGCACAGTCTAATATTTCTAGCTTCTCTATCAATTCACATGTATTACACAGCTGATAATTTTCATTTCACAACAAATGCAGCCTCTGAAGGTGCTGGTAGAAAAAAAGAATTGAGAACTATGGAGACAATAGGGGTTTAAGTCATTAGAACAGTTATCAAATTTCGTGCAATAATAACTTCAAAATGATGTTATCTTCTCGGTTATAGAAAAACGCCGATTTACCACAAAAACAAAAATAACAAATTGTAGTCTCGAGACTGAAATTTTGTAAAGACTACGGGAACCAGGGAATAAGGATTTGGAACAATATAGAAGCGACTATTTTCTAATTATCCCCAGATTTACTTTAGTGATAGAAGTACGATACGCGATCCTACTGACGCAGTAAAATATGTTCAAAGGCAAAGGAAGAGCTCCTTCTTCGGTTGTGGTGTTGGGAGCTATTAGCTCAGTGGGAATATGATCACTTTATTTCGTGGAAGGTATTATGTGGTTGGAAAAATATTTGCAGATATTAAAGGAGGTGCTCATACCGCATGCTGGGCTATACAGAGATAGTAAAGACGAATACATTTGTATGCAAGATGATGCACGTTGCCACATAGCAAAACAATTTCTAATCTCGGAAATTTCTGGCCATGGCCCGGAGAATTTTCACCACCTCTGATCTATGTTATTAGGGTATTCACATGTTGTAAAATTTTTTCAATATAAAAAAACGGTTAAACATGCTTTTAAAAGATTTTAACTACTCCAAAATGTTTAAACATTGATAAAAATATATAATTAGATCTTAATACGCCCTACGAATCCCCCAGAAACCATTTTAGCTGTTATTTGTCATATTCTAGTGATTCTTTTAGTGCACTAAGAAAAAAGTTACGTAATTTTTTCTGAGTAAATTTCATTTTATTTTTCATGTTAGCGATTTGAAATTTGTGAACAGAAAAAATATATTTTTTTTTTAACAAACTTAAACATAAAGTTTGTTTGATCGATGTTTTTTTTGGGGTTTTTCTTAATTACGAAAAAACGTCTGTGAAGTGCGGAACAAGATCGCATTCAAACTAAAACCTCAAAAATAAATCCTTTTAAAATAAAGAAGGGTCATTTGGCGCCAAACAAAGGCGATTTGGTTTTTTTTTCTCAGTGTATAAAAAAATTTTACCATTTTGGCGGAACCGAGCCGTGGTTCACGAACCAGTTCTTGGATTGGTACAAGTTTTTCTATATGGTTCGAAGCTCTGAACCGAGCCGCAAAGATTTTTGGAGCGGTCTGCAGCCCTCTTAAAACAGAGTTGGGACTAAAGCACTAATTTTTGAAAGAACTGATCCACTCACAGTATTTGCAGTGAAGCTGGTTGATATTCTGTACTGCGGTATGGCCCGATAGACCGTATTTTCATATAGCTAAAAAAAACTACATAAGTAGAAGTTTGCAAATCTAGAATCCGCTGAACGCTCTTGCTTAATTTTTAATAAATTGGTAAGTGAGTAACGGTTGAATTTAAAACTACTGTAACGGCACGTTAATAAAGCCGCGTGCATCTGCTTGGATGGGTTTGTGCATACATATGTATGTATATACACGCCAACCTGTACCCACATATATATATGTATGTATATACAGAGCAAATAAGTATGTTTTTGTATGCCTATCTTCGCATTCATGCGCTCTTGATAAGAATCTTTGCGCCGTTGCGTTTCAAGCTTTTTATTTCCCGCCAACGGTAGCAAGCTACTTTAGTGTGGTTTTTATCGCTGTAGTTTTTGTTGTTCCTGACATTTGTTATTAAACGCTACTGCCATTGTTATTAAACAAGTTGATATCAGTTTTATTATTGCGGTTACTACCAATAACGGGTTACCATACCTGTGTGCCATGTAGGTATGTATGTACGTTTGAGTGTGTGTATGTAAATACATATGCTCCACATTATTTGCTCATTTTTCATTTACATACATACATACATGTATTTTTTATTATTACTTATTTTTATACAAACACACAGCCATACTCGTATTTCCAAGTCTGTTGCGTATGTACGTATATCTAAGTACGAGCAGCCATTGTATAGAGCAAATATAGTAACCTACAAACACACGCATCGATATGCTTTTTTATCTCACTTTTCGCGCTGAGACTCTCCCATTGTACTGCCAGTTTACTCACACATAAGTATCAAGCCGCATGCGTTTTTAGCTTTTCTTTGCGCCGCTCATAAATGCGATTAAAAATATTTATACATTTTTATTTATTTTTCGCTCAACACTCAGCAAATACGCGCTCACACGCACGTAAATATGTACATATATACGAACGTAAGTCAACAATTAAATACTTCGTAACCATATCAGCGGCGCCCATTGGAGCTTGCTCACTCCCATCATTGCTTGGTAGGTGGAGTGATATTTCATTGTAGATGCGTTTTGTTGTTGCTTTACTCACGCATACATTCAATGCGCATGGTTGTTGTTGGTGTGGTTACTGCTGTTGCACAGTAGCCACTATTGTTGCCATTGGTGGAAATGTGTTGAGTCCGTTGCTCATTGCGCTGCTTACTGTTGTTGTTCAACTTAGTTATAGCTACTGTGGCGTCTGTGTGTTGTAGGTTAAAGTTGTTTTTGCTACTGGTGTTGTTAGTATGGTTGTTATTGTTGTTGTTGCACGGTGACGTCGCCTGACAATTTATTTACTAGCTGGTGGAAAACTTGCGTTGGCAAGCGATGAAATTAAATATGGCCGCCATCCGATTTCGACGTTTGCCAGCTGCTGATGGAGCAGGCTGCGTGCGCGGGTGGTAAGGAAGTGTGCTGGAAAAGTAGGTGGAGGGGATAAACGACACTCTACTCAGATATTTATAAACTAAAAAGTAAGTACGCTTACAGCATTGAATCTACATATGCAGGTATTTGGTGACTTTTATAAAAAATACATACATATGTACATAAAATTTTATTTAAAAGCGCCCCGATTATATTGTTGTGTTTCAATCTAAATAAATAGTAAAACTACCTAAAAAGGAAGTATAGGGGTCAATTAACCCTTTTGGAAGACATGCATATTCCTATCTTTTGGTTACTAAATTAAGAATACAATATATGTATAAAAATAAAACTTTATTTTTAATTTTATTTTTAAAATGAATAAAAAATTATCTATTTAAAATTTTGTGTTAGTAAAATTTATATTAAAGTAATTGGGTCAAATGTTCCTGTCCGACTTTCAAGGTACATATGTATGTCGATTTCCACAGTATTTCTAGTGTTGATGGGCATATTTTGAAAACCAAGCTATTCATTTTTAAAACAGGAATACAAAAATTTCAATTCAGTTGAAAAATAAAATCCTTTTAATTAAAATGAAGTTTTTGTTGTCTTTAACGTAAATAATTAATTTAACGTTAACAATTTTTCATTTGAAATTATAAGTTTTTTGTTATTAAAATTATGTTTAAAATAGATCAACTACTTTGGTTGATGAGGACTGTGGCAACCTCATCGAGCTCTAAAATCCCTGAACTTTTTTGCCAACATTATGGAAGAGCGGATTCATTGACCCGATAATATATTGTCGACAACAGTCGTTGCTTGAGCTAATTTATTNTATTAAAATTATGTTTAAAATAGATCAACTACTTTGGTTGATGAGGACTGTGGCAACCTCATCGAGCTCTAAAATCCCTGAACTTTTTTGCTAACATTATGGAAGAGCGGATTCATTGACCCGATAATATATTGTCGACAACAGTCGTTGCTTGAGCTAATTTATTCTTTTGCCAGACTGCCAGGCCACTTGCTCAATTTGATGAATACCACTATTGAGTACAAGTAGCCAGCGCAGCTAGCTAGTCGTACAACAGCAGGTGGAATAATTTGCACACTTG